AACTTCCAGCTTATTAAATGTAATATTCGCTACTCATTCTGCATAGTCAAGCATATAGACAGACATAATTTGACAGCAAAGGCTTTATGATATAGTAGCTATAAACAAAATATTTGTAATTTTACAAGAATCTAATATGATTCAAAACCTAGTTAAATCTACCTCCCCAAATCGCTCTTTTCTTTTTTGATATAATTTTTATTTTTTATAAAATATGTATTCATAAATTTGAATAGAAAATATCTAGATATGTACACTGTATAATGCATGCACAAAAGCTAAAGTTAGATCAATGAATTAATTTTAGTTACTTTAACTAAAAGTGGGCAGTTTATTCCTACTACTAGATTGCTCAAAGAGCAATCAAATGTAATTGAAACCAAGCAATTCACACTATTTATAGACATTTTTCAGAATCACCTGCTTTGTAGTGATTTTTTTCAGCACAGTTGTAAAGTTTTGATTTTTAAGAGTCCCTTTGAAGACGTGGCAGATGTTGGCTTTGCTAATAATGCTGGAAAGCGCAGCAGGTTCAAAGTTACAAAAATGTTTAACACATATAAAATATAACGGCGTGCTTTTCTATTAAATTTGGTTATTTTCAATTGTCAATAAACTTATGTAAAGGAAGCCTAAAGTCCATAAATATTTGCTTCCAAAACATGAAGCTGCTAGAGTTTATATATGTGTGTGTCCATGCGCATTTGTGGAGGGAAAATGCATAAAATATATACTATAGAAGCTTACATATTATAGTTTTAAATCATTACTATAAATTAAATAGTAAGGTTTATAAATATTTAAGCTGTTTTTCAATATTTTCTGGTGCTTAAAATTCTATTAGAATTTAACATGGTAATTAGCGCAAACACATACAATCTAGGTATTAGATGCAGGGATACAGAATTTTGGTTCTGACTTTACCCTGGATTTATGTACTAAATCTTCTCTCAACCATAAATGAAAAGTAATTATAAACTACCTACCAAAATACAGATGGTCTCACTATATAGGATGAGATTTTTATCTAACACAATTTTAAATTTCAGGAGTTCTGAAATCACTTCAATTTTGTTTTTTACAAATACTGAAATACTAAAATGTGCTATAAACAATGAGAGATATACGTATTAATAGCATACCAGGATCATAATCATTTTCAATGTTGCTTTAGTTTGTGCTGGATCAAGATGTCTATGAAATAAAATATCTTTGAAGATAACTTATGGAAAACCTAATGCAATTGTTACACGAGAAAGATATCTTTAATTTAAATCTATCTGAATATCTGACAAATATACCTCAAGCTGAAATTGGAAAATAAAATTTTATTTTCAATAAGTGTACATAGATTTAAACAGAAATTATTGGGATACTTCCTTTTAGTCAATATTTCTTCAAAATATCAAAGGAAAGAAAAGCTCGTCCTAAGTCCCCAGTATTTTTATCCTTGGTGATGACTAATTGTACTTTCCACTCAAGTTTTAATCTGTTAATAATTTATGCAGCTGACACAAACACTTATATTGGCTTGTTTTTCCAGTACCCTCATTATCAGCTTCAACATGTAGAAATGAACTTAATTTTGTTAAATGGTTATTTCCCACTAAGTTAGGGGGAGAGATAAATACGTTTTGTTAAATTATTCCACTTTAAAAAAATTATTAAAATAAATTAAGGGAATCAGTTACTGAATTCCACTTTCTTGGTTTCCCCCAAACAAAATAACATGTGCTTGTATGAAAATTCAGTTTGCCCTAAGAAACTTAAGAGCAATGGCTCAGTTCAGGAAGCATAAAGGACAATCTGTCATGTAGGTTACTCATTGCAAAAAATAAAATGAACAGTAAGAGCTTACGGGAATTGCAAGAGTACTCTCATCAACCTGAACTGGGATCTGCTTCCAAAGTGACACTGATATCAAATGTTCGGTTTATGAAATTGTCACTGCATTCTAAAATTGACTGTTTTTCTAATACAAATTGAAACCTTCTTGCTATGATTAACCATTCAACTCACTATCTAAAGAGACTTTCACTTATAGTTAGGAAAGTACATTAAATATCAGTGACACTACTGGTAATTTTCTTATGAAAACTAATTTGTGACAGAACATTAAAAGTTCACCCCCTGACCTTGGAAAATAAAAGTTAGCTTTTGAGACCATGACAGAAGAATCCATCCCATAGGATTGCTGAATAACAATTGATATTGCTGTGAAGGGTGAAGGAATATTAAATATGCGGTCAATCATTTTCATTTAGGTGGCATCTTACCTAAAGCTTTATACACGATAAACATTTTTCCAATACTTCAAACCAACATATGGGATTACCTTCTAGGACTATTATTAACCCAATTCCGCAGAGGAAGAAAAATATGCAAATATTATATTAAACAAATGATATCTTCCAAAAATATGCAATCCAGGTTGCACTATAGCCACGAAAGAAAACTCACAAGTCTCTTAATTTTAAAGTATCTTTTAACAATTTTATGATAATACAGGTAGGTAAGAGCTTTGAAAAGTGGTCTGGAAAACTTTGAGTTTCTCTGGATTGCTACAGAAAAGTTACTCGGCAAGTGTGTCTTCAAGTACCAGAGGTCAGAAAGGTTTCCCTTTTCCGTGGCTGCTCAAATTATCCCCCACTAAAATCAGCGCCTCCGACGCGCACCCTTACATACCACCTTCAGGCACGTAGCTAACTAACACTACCCGAGCTACTGTTGCTTCGCTGTATTTGTCTCTACTAATACCCACTTGGTAGAGGGATTTGTTTTCCACTTTTGAAACGTTGATTCTGTAATTAGCTTACACCACATGAACATGTACTATTAAGGTTCGTCTTTCTTCCAATGTGAGCATCTATTTATTTACAATTCTCTGACACATTCCTTAAAATCTGAATTCCTAGATAATGTCTTTTTCCCCAATAAAGGGAAAATTTTACCATTTAAAATAGGGTGCTATTTAAAGAACGCTGAAATAAGAATGTTAGAAAAAAAAACTAAAACTTTTTTTTTTTCTCATGCGCTCTGCCAAGTTCCACTGCAAGTTCCAAATATTGTGCAATGATTTGGAAATCCAGTTAACGATGGGAAAAATCGAGCCACTCACAGTCGGGAACTTGCAAGAGAAAAGTCAAGAAGCGGCACCCGCACGCACGCCTGCCCAACCGACGCTGCATCTCTGGGCGCACGCCCCTCCCTCCCCAGCGCTGGGATGGAAGGTCACGCTTCGCAATCGATTTCACAGCCACTTGTCCTTTTTTATCAACCTTCTGGTAAACTAGTTTAGGACCTTGGAGAGCTTAGAGCTGCTGGCTGTATATGCATTGATCTCGGATAAACACGTGTCCCCCAAATATCAGGACCAAAGCTTCACCGCCGAATTTGGCCGCGGGAAGCCACAAAGGGCAACACATTCCCATATTCCCCGCTGCCACCCTGTAGTGCGAGAATCTCCCCTGGCATCTCTCCGCCCCCTTTCCAGGCCGGCGCGCACTCTCGAGGGTGCCTGGTGCGCCCTTACCTGAGCTGTCGCTTTTCCTCTTGCCACCGCTTCGCTTCTCCGCCTCCGCAGGTGACAGTGCCTGGCGGCCGTAGTCCCCCGGCGCGCACGCGGCCCCAGTCGGGGTGCTGGAGCCCAAGCTGGAAGAGTTGGAACACAGGACCGGAGGGCTGCTCCCCAACTCTGGGGGCCCTCCGGAGTCGGGCTGGAGGCAGAGGCTGTGTCGAGCCGCACTCGGTGGGGAAGACATCTGCGGGAGGTGCCAGTTGGTTTGCAGAGCCTGGTGCTGCTGCTGCTGATGATGGTGATGGTGGTGGTGGTGGTGGTGGTGGTGCCCCCTGTGATGCTGGCTGGCAAACATGCCTTCTTCGTTGGGGTATCCCGCGATTATGCAAGATGAGGAAGAAGTAGAGAGCTCGGGGTAAGACATATGGTCAGATCTTCCATGGAGGGCGAGAGAAGATTGGGAGAACGGGTGCAAGCCTTGCGCCGTGGCGTGAGGGCTGCGCAGGCAGCCAAAGAGCGGGTGTTCCATAGCATGCAAGTTTCAGGTTCCAGGCAGAAGACTTCAGGACGGTTCCAAAGGCCACCACCCTCTGTCACTTTTCACTGGAAACCGTATGATTTTTTTTTTTACCCTCCCAAAGCAATAGCCGTGCACTTCTGCAGAGCTCGGATAATCCCGGTTCTGAGCCCCAGCGGCCAGTCTCCTTTGCATATGAACAGTCGGACCTGGAAGAGCTTCCCTGAACTACTCAGATGTCAAGAGTGGGAGAGGTTGAAGCCAAAAGAAGGTGGTCCCAGAGAACTGCTTTCAGGGGGAAATGGCTCTGAGAGGTTATAAATAGAGTGTAACGTGAGCTGGGGGCCGGCTTAGGAGCCCAGAGTTGACCACATGCAAACTCCCTCCAAAACTCCCGCTCAGTTTGCGCCACGCGCTCCCCAGTTCCACTTCCTATCGCCTGCTGGACAGACGCAGAGCGTCCACGCCCGCCCAGCACTGCCGGCTGCCAGGGCTACAAGCGGCACGCCAGTGCCTAAGTCCCGCCCGGGAGGGCAGCAGCTCTGCCCTCCAGACTCTGGAGGCCTGGGCGCGGCGCACACCACCCCCAACCCAGCACCCTGATTCCTACCTACTCACTTTCCTCTCCGGGAAACGTGATTTGTCAGTGTCATTTGTGAACTGTCACCTGCAGAAAAGCTAGGGATATGCCTAGCCTTTCAGGAACCCAAAAGAAGTAATAGGGTTAAACGAAAATATCAGAGCTAGTTAGGCGCATCCTCGAAGTTTTTCAAACTTCGCATCTTCCAGTGCCCTGGGCGCCGCAGCGCGCCTAGGTTTTCACAGCTGGTTTCTGTGGGTGGATTGTTAATGGGCTGGGACGCCAGATCTGAGGTTGTGGGGATGAGTACCATGGCCTGGAAAAGGCAGTTCTCAGTGCGGAACCAAGAGGGACCCGGTAGGGTGGGTGGGAGGAAGGCGTGAGTCTGAAAGGGTTGCAGATGCCTGTTCCCTGGCATCCTCTTGTGCGATGCCAGGTGGAGTCTCCCTTCCCCCTCTTTCCTGGTCCCGCTCAATTTCCTAGCCACTTGTCCACCAAGAAGAAATTTTCCTGGGTCAAAAATATTTCCAGGCGATTTTGTCCCGGTCACATGAGATGTGTAGATTGCACGCACATATCTAGCCTTTCCCCTCAGGAGCTAGCCTAGGTCTCCGCAGTTTCCTACAGAAATCCACTCTCTTCCGCTCAAAAATAAATCCGCTAATCGCATCCCTTATCACCACCGTCCCATTTACTGAGAAATCTTACATTTCGATAGCTCCCAAAATTCACTAAGCTTGGGCACTTGGCTATAACTTTGCATCCCTGAAAATAAATTAGAAAATTTGCCTCCAGTAAGCATGCAAGAACGATGGCAGGGCTTTGAGACTGCCACTTGTTTGGCGGGTGACAGGGTCCGCTGGGGGCAGAGTCGTTTACACACAAGTGAGTGGCTCTGTAATGAGCAGGAGAAACAGTCAAGTCCCATCTGGGACCTGTCGCATCAGGAGAATATCTGTAGTCACCTATTCCGCCCGGGGCCCCAAATGCACCACCAGCAGTGTCGCCCCGTTATTTTCATTGTCTCAGGTGTCCAGAGGATGATGAGCAGGTCTTTGAAGTTGTTAGTGGGATTAATGGGTACAGCAAACTGGGCTAGACATCTGGTTTGAATTAGGAAAAAGTATTGATTAATCTTTGAGAGGTGTCCCCAAAGCAGAACCTTCCCCCTCCTCTTCCAGTCCCCCTGCTTAAGCCTCACTATCTTCTTTTCTTGTAAGTCATGCTGTAGAATAGTGGCTTCTCAAAAACATCCGTGTGAAAGATCGAATTGTTTTCTATTGCTTAGAGGTGGGGTGGAGTGGGGGTTGATCAGGAATTCTGAGATTTGTAAGCGCTGCTTTCTTTAACGGAAATTGAGCTCTATTTTGAGGGAAATTAGTTTTGCAGACTTCGTTTAAAAAAAAAAAAAAAACTAAAACTTTTGTTCACCAGCTGCTCAGCTTTTCAGTCTGGGTCTGAGCTGAAACCTGCTGCAAGTCTTTGACGGTAAGAATTTCTTTGCCGATACTTTGGGAATCTAATATTGTTTTAGACTTCGAAAGGGGGTGTTGTTCAGGTTGCACGTTTCTAGGGGCTTTAAGCACTAGCAGGATGGCGTCCAGGACTTAGATCTTAAGAATATTTCTTCCTGCCACTCCCCACGCCCTTGGCTCTTTAAGAATAAAAAGAGGTGGGGGAGTTATAGTCCTCTAATATCGTCGGAATATTTTTTGTATTTTCATTGTGTTTATGGTTTCAATATGTGCTCTGATATTAAAAGTTAAAGTACAAAGAGCAACACTAAACTTCCCCAACTTGTGTAGCTTCTCTATGGATTCTAGGTGAAAGCATTAAAGGCTTTATTTAAAGTGAGATTTAGGCAACCACCTCAATAAGCCTAACCAGAAATATTTACATAATACAATGCTGTCAACTAAAGCATTGTGGAAAATGTCAGACAAGACAGACTAAAATTACACATGATCTGCAGACATCAGTCCAAAACATCCACAATGGTCCTTTTGGTTTGCATTACATTGGTTTAGAGGAAGCTAAGCAATTACCAAATGAATGGATTTGAATTTAACCAGAGTGTTGCAGGTAACTAGCAACAAGAACACACAAATCTTTCATCTCCCAGAGCTGCCACTTCTTCTTAAACCTGCCCAGTGACTGTGCTGGATTTTTTCTCACTCATTGTGTCAGATGTTAACAATCTGTCCAGAAGTTTCTCTACAACCTGCCCCAGTCAGTCAGCCTCTAGAACTTTTTCTAGAAGAAAAATTTAGGAAAGGTTAGAAAAGGAGGAAGTCATTGCAAAGGCATGCAATGAAAGCAAAGGTAGTAAGACAGGTCTTTTTAATTGGAGACACAAAACATTTAATATCAACAAAAATTATGAAGTCCAGTTTTCTTATAGAAAACACAACATAAGGAAAATATTTGAAAGGAAAAAAATGAAGGACTAAAAAGGAGGTCTTGGTAAATTCCAGAATTAAATAGGACTTTAATTTTCTCTGGATTTCTAAATATGTATTAATCATTACATAAAGATTTTTAAATATTAATTTATTCAAATATTTGGAATAAGATAGAATATTGAATTTTATGTTCTAGGTTTTAGAGAAATTTTTAAAATGTAGTAAAAACAGGAAAAAAAAATCCTTAGCTTTCCTATAACAGCTACTTCAGTGTTCACATCCATAAAATCCAATATTGAGAAGATGCCTCTTTATTTAATGATATCAAGAATGGTAAAAATTATAAAGTTTATCATAAAATTTATATAAACAATCATTTAAAACTATATATGACATAGTATTTATCTAATATTTGCAATATACTTGAGTTTTCCTGAAGAAAAGTTATATTAATGCCAATATTTCATGGAAGGTTTCAATATCCAGTAACACATTATAAAGAGGTTGATTATGTGAAAAGGTAAGCTACCTAGCTCTTGTAGGCTCCACAACTATAATGATTTTAAATGTAGGCTAGGTTCTTTAAACTTGATGAGTGTGTATATCTATTGCTTCTTTGGCTTAAATATAATGACATTCAAGAGTAAAGGTAGAGATTTTTTTTTTTTATTAGGACTATTTTTTTTTAAGCGGAATAGAACTCATATTAAGCAACACAACAAAATTGTATTTACATTTTACTTTAAGATTCATGACGATTCTTTTAAAAGTTGCCATTCTTCTGCACACGTGTGACATGAGTTATCATGGTACTTCAAATATTTAAAATTAAATGGGAAATTTTACTTTGAATTTTACCTAATAGGTAAATTTTCCTTGGTAACACATAGTCGTAATATAAGAACTTAAGGATGGATAATTAAATTAATATTGTAACTTGTTTCTGAAAACTTTATTGAGTATAGAAATATTATTTCTGTTATATTTTGCCAAAAAGTAGCAGCTACGTCCTTCAGTTCCTTCTTCTAAAATAAAGAATTTTGAAAATGTATCCAAATACGCTAAATACCCAATGGTAATTTATGTGATTTATGATGTACTTTATTTTATAAAACTAAGGAATTGATTTTCCCCCGGAACTATGCATTATAAAATTTATGGAACAATTTTGCTATGGTTAATGCATGTTATTTAGTGATTCCATATACTTTTACACATTTTTTAAATGTTATTATTTTTACATAACATTAATTGGTACGTTCACAATAAAACTTGTTGCATTCATTTTACATGTACCAAAATAAATGAACACTTAAAACCTTACTTCTAAACTGTAAAACAATCCAATGTACTTTGTTTTTCTAGTTTCTAGGTCTTCCTGCATTTACATTTATTTCTTTCAGGAATTAGTGGTTTTCTTCAGTTCAATTCCGGTATACTATAATCAATGAAACTGTTCTAAACACTAAATATAACTCTGCCTAAAGCAATAAGACAGAAAACAAAATAAATCAAAATTAGAACTATTTAACAGATAATCTTTAGAAAGCCAGCATGCAATATAGATTATGACTAATAAAATTAAATCTAAAAGATTGAATTAAAAATCAAAAATATATGCATTCTTTCATAACATGTATTCACACAGTTAATAAAATTCTAATGATCTTTTGTCTTTCTTTTTCTTTTCTATTTTGTGAGGAGTATTATGATTGGGAAGACATAGATTGCCTCTCAAATTTCAAAAACTTCTAACTGGACTTCCTTTTGTTCACCTGTTTTAAATCCATAATTATTTGATAGTTACTTCATAATAATGCTAATAGACAATAATTAATTTCTACATTTTCATTTGCATTCATGTTGTATGTTATTTTTATTGATAAATGTAGGCCTTTTCAAAATTTTATTATTGAAAATTATATCCTTTCCAACACAGGGAAATGTACAGGCAAACTAATTCAAGATAATTTTATAATGAAATGCTCTATATTATATTTTCTATAGCATCCAACTCATAACCATTACATTTCTATCCACAATTTAAGGGAATTACACCATTTATTTCTCCCATGTCTTAAAAAGCAATGCTATCCTTTCATATGAATTGAATTTAGAAAAGTTTACAAATCTCAGAGAAGAAAAATTGAATCGAAAATACAGACGAGAATTATAAATAAAACCTTAGTCTTCTGTTTTAAGTTTTCCAACTTGAAGAGTTTAACATAACTAATGTAACTTTGGCACTATGATACGTTTTTCTTGTGTGTTTTTATTTTTCATACTTCATCAAATTGTAGCAAGTTTTATTCTTAAAGTGGCTTTTCCATTTTGAGCTCAGGTTTATGATTTGGATTACTAAAAACCTCTGTGTTTTAGCTGTTAGTATAGTTCTCCAAAATATTTAATTGCATGCTCGTATTTTATATGATTCAGACTCAACAAAGAAACACCAGCTGCCTTTTATGTCAACATTCTTTTTCAGGAATAAAGGAAAAATGTTGTATATTTGTATACCAAACAAAATGAAAAGTTAAGGCCAAATACATGATCTCTTATAAAAGCATATTTTTGAGAGTTTAACATTATAATAGTACTTGATGGAGGACAGGTTTTTTTTCGAAGATTTTGAGAGTGATACGGAGTATTTCATACAAGGCAATGGCCATATGGAAATGGATCAAAACAAGGATGAAATGATTAAATGACAACTGTCTGCCCATGTTTTAATTAACGTAAGAACCAAGAAAGGTAACAGAAGGTCAGAATGAGCCAAAAAAAAATCAGAAGAGTATTTAGCAGGTGGAAAGACAGAAAGCGAGATAAGCTTAAAGATATTAAAAATAATTTTAAATTTGTTAATACATAAATTGTAAGCCACATATGATCATGATAAAAAGATTCCAGATTCATATCTTAGTTTAATTGGAATTTTAAAAATAAATAATCAGAAAGGTTCATATTTAACTGCATGGCATATATATTTTTGATAGAAGTAATAATGAAATATTACTAATCTGAGAAACTGTTTCAAATAATTAATATGAAATGTGGATATAGATGTGATCAGTGCTTAGATATGCACAGGCTATTGAATATCTGAAGTTCTGAAAAATCACTGCCTTTTCGTCTTACAAATTTGTAACCTGAAACTCATTATAATCAAAAGGTTTTTCTAAATTGTATCTATTTTTAGAGGATGATTTCTGCTAAGTTGGGTTCATAGTATATAGGAAGGGAATAAGCTGGTTTTCAACAGCTGTTAGTGTCTGAGGGAAAAAAAAAAAAGAAGTCTTGGGCCAACTGCACTCTAGAGCACTTCAAAGCACAAGTAAGGAAATTCTGTACCGAACACCAACCAGAACCCAGGAGGAATACCAGCTCTGAGCTCAAAGGCCCAGGAAAAGGCAATTTCTCATACTACCAGCTAACAGTTGTTTTCATCCACAAAAGGGCCTGTGATCAAAACAAAGCTTTCTCTATATTACATAAGACTGTATAAATACTAGATACAACCTCTTCAACCCTTAGAGTGACTAGAAAAGATTCTCCCCACCCCCCGCCCGGACATGTATTATGCATGACCTTTGTACTATAAGCTCAAAGTTGTGGGACCTTATGTTGGTCCAATTCCACTTCTAACGATTCATTCTTGAGGGTATAAAAAAACTAATGGGTAGAAAAAGAGAACAGTGACTGAAGAGGTCAAAATAATCTTGTATACTTCGTGATAAAATAGAATCAAACTGACAACTGATGTTGAAAATGGACTTTATGAGTAAAAGAAAACTGATGGGTTTTTCATCTAATTTAGGACATCAGATTAGTAATCTGAAGCAGTATTTCTGCAAATAACTTATTAAAGATGATTAAGTGTGCTGGTTAAAGTGACGGTAATGTTTCTCTGAAAATATACTCAAGGTCAAATTAAATAGACTTGACCCATAGTCAAATATAATAATACCTCTATTTATTGCAAACAACTTTAAGAATATTCCTTTGATATAGTAACTATAGAGCAGTAAAAATAGCACATTTATGACCTTCCAGGTTAATTATTTTATTCATCATAGTTATCATCTGTGGGCCAGTACTACCTGTCAACAGCTTATGAAATGTTTGAATTTCTATAAATTTTGTTCTTGGTTACCTCTGGTATCCTACCTCTTACAGTTAATGATGTGATTTGATCAGAGTTGAAAGATGAGTCCTTTTGGGTTTTAAGATCTGATCATACCTTCATCAGATAGACCCCACCAGGCAAAGATCTCAGGACCAGGTAGCACCACTTGGAATCCTTCCAGAACCAAAGACAAGCACATAAGTATAAAACTGCAAAAATGTTCACTGTTGCACATGTGGTGATAAAGCCTAGTGTGTATTTTTAGAGAAGAAAGATATGAAGAAGCACATTAGAAGCTTGTAAATGTTATGCACTGTAAATCTAAGGTTATTGAATTAGCTATTGGTGTTTCTCTTTCTGTAACAGTATTAAAGACTTGCTGATTCATGTCTATGTGAACAATATTTTTCTTAAAAAGCAATTGTCAGATCACTATAATCTGGTATTTGTGTCAAATATAGCCGCGGCTAGAACCAAAAAAGTGGGTTATTTTCCTTGTACTGTACTGGTAATTCCAGTGATCAAAAATCGCTAAATCTCAATTTTAAGTGAGCAAGTCCATGTCAGTCTCTCTCTAAATAGACTTATTGACAAGTCAGTTGCTTAAGTCAGAAGTAGGAACCCGCAATTGCCAGGCCCCTCCTTCCTTCTCCTTTTCCCCCATGCAGTCAATCATCAAGTGCAGTATTTACTTGATGATTACCAATTATACTTATTTAATGTTCATTAACTCCATAATCCTCTCCATCACCAGTCAGTACTTTCTTTGGGGGCCTCACTCTTCTTGTTTGACTTATAGAGGGGTCCCATGATCCTGTAGTTGCCTAGAGCATTCCTCCATCTTCAGAGGCAGGGTGGAGAATTGATTTGGATCTTAGCTCTGTCACTTTCTGATTCTGTGGATATATTCATTTCTTAACTCAAGAGAATATTATAATAAACAATTTAGACAATGCTGTGAATATACTTACCATGATGACTGGCATAAGCTCAACAAATGTTTAACAAATTTAAGTTACATCTAGACCTCACTGTGGAACACAGATTCATGTGGTTGTTGAGCACTTGAAATGTGGCTTTTCCAAATTAAGATCCATTTTAAGATTAAAATGCACACCAGATCTCAAAGACTTCTTATGAAATTAATGAAGTTTTTCATTGACTACACGTTAAAATAACCATGGTTGGATACACTGGGCTAAATAAAATATATTATTAAAATTAACTTCTGTTATTTTTTACTTTTTTCAGGCAGATGCCAGAAAACTTAAAATGACCTATGTAGTTTACATTGGACAGTGCTAAGCTAGAGGATGTCATTTAACTTTTTCTTTCTTTTATTCCCTCCCCTTGCAAATAGGTACCAAATTACATATATCTGTCAAAATGATGTAGGACCTAAAGTGTCTCTGTAAGTTGATCCTCTTGACCCCATGATTAGGAGCTTCACAATGTGATACCACACCTGGAAACCTCCAGAACAAGATCTCAAGGAAACACAGGAAATTCCTGAAACAGCAAAACCCCCTATGTGAAGACGCCTGTTATTCCTTTGTGCATCAGGAGCATCACTGTTAATTAACTGTTGATACACTTAAAAGAGCTTGGTTGGCAATGTCCTTTTTGAAAAAAGAAGAGCCAGGTATGTTATTCAGGATGAACTAGACAATGCTGTCACAAGTTTACCTCTACGTCTTATTGCCTTGGAAAAATTGCCTGCATATTGTGGCACAAGATGGTTGGCTCTCCAGGCAGCAGTTGGCATTGTGAATCAGTCTTCTCAGCATGTATCTACAAGATCCCACGGCAGGGGAAAAAAGAGGTGGAGGGTCACATGCCTGGTGTTACATACTTCAAGGCAGAGGTGGTAGGTGCCATTTCTGCTCACAGCTCATGGACCAGAACAAAGCCATGCATACCTGCGAGAGGACCAGAAAATATTCTGAAGCACATGGCTATTTGGTGAGCAGTAAATGTTTCTGTTACAACAGGTTTTGACAAACTTCAAATGTACTCCTACTAGGCCTACTTCACACCACTAAACTCTATACTTCTTATTTCTTGATGGCATCTTATGTTGATGTTTTCTGTCATAGTGTTTGGCACAAAATGAGAGCTCAATACATATACTTAATAGTGCATTTAGATCTAAGAGTTTCACTTTACACAAGATTTTAGTACCCGTGTAGCGTTGGGCCACATCAGGAAAATGTAACTGCTTCTACAACTGCAAAGAAAAATTAACTAATTATATGCTCGTCGCAGCTTCAGGTTTTTGTTTTGCTTTGTGTTTTGTTTGCTTGCTTCTTTTTGGTTTATAATTGTTGCTTTGTTTTTTGCCCTTGAGCAGAGGTTCATTTCTAATTTTCACTGGAATTAGAACAACAGTTGTGTCCATATGCAATGACAGTGTTTCAGATTCTTTGAGGATTTGCCCACAGTGTCTGCAGTCGTATTGTGACAGCAGTTGTGATGCCAATCTCTGTAAATCAGACTTATTCCCAGTGAGACATTATATATTTTTGCAGCCAATACTATTTATTTTATAGTGATTTATAGCATTGTCTCTGAAGAGGATACTTTGGTTTGTGTCTTGTTTTTGTCAGTTTTCCACACTTTGATTGTGGCCAGGTTAATTAATATTTTTGTGTCTAGGTTTCCTCATCTCTAAAAAAAACTATGTTTATTTCTATAGCTTCATGTTGACAAATTATATAAACTATGTTACTCAACTGGCAAGTAAATTGATGTATAGTATATTTATAAATGATAGATACTATCTTTATGTTAATTTTTATTATCATCATTATCATCAATTTTCAGGTCCATGTTCTAAAAAGAAGGCACACTGTCTAAAACAAGCTTTGTAAGAAAATTTTGAAGTATTTACATATATCTAACCATTCATTCCACCTTTTCTCCCAAATAACACTCTAATACCTTGAGACATCTTGTCTAGAGCAAGATTTCATAAATGCTTGTGAGGCAGGATAGTAGGGTCTGGAGACAGGAAACCTAAAGCCAATTCACACTGACTTCCTAGTACTAAATCTAAAGGAAAACCCCAACTTTCCTCACCCAAGTAACAAAAGGATCAGAGGCTATACTCCCTTTGCAACCTGCCGCCTTTCTGCCTGGAAGATGAAAAATGAAACGTACCTCTGATTGGTCCCCTCCCGCGACCAGTCAGACTGGTCGCCGATCACTGCTTCATTTACATAGGGTGTAAACCGAATAACCAATGGGAAACCTCTAGAGGGTATTTAAACCCCAGAAAATTCTGTAACCAGTGGTCTCCAGCAGGTTGCTCAATCTTGCTCCCACTCTGTGGGATGTACTTTTGTTTCAATAACTCTGTGCTCTTCCTCCGTGGTTTTGTTTGTGCTTTTTGTCCAAAATGCCAGGAACCTGGACACTCTCCACTGGTAACACTTGTTAATCAAATAAAGAATATGCTAAAGATAAATGTGACTTTAGTTATCAACATTTTTAATTAAATGATTATACATTTAGGTTGTACATATTTCACTTGACTTTTCCACTTCCTTCAAAGTAATAGGAAAACAAAAACTCTTGGCTTATAAAACCTGGAATTTGAGATGCCTGACAAAAATGCTTCATATGGCCAAAAGAACTATTAAGTTCTAAAGAAAAAGTCATGTGTCATTTCTTATCTAAAGCACTTTGGATAAATTTATAGTGGAATTTGATTTTAGGTTGTACAGGATCTAGCCATTAGTTCAAAAATAATGAACAGTCCTGTAACAATAGAGGTTTAGTGAGATAATAACTACACGACTAGCCCTAACCTCAATTATGGTGTAATATGCAACTCACTTAACTCCAAATAAATGAGCATACTAACAATGAAATAAAATACTCATAAAATGAATAACATAGAACTTAAGATTTAACATCTATTTACATCATTTATGCTTGATTCATATAGTGGGTATATATAAGCTATGCTGAAAATAAGCGCAATGTACGGCTTAATGCTGACTAGAATGTACATTCTTTTACAACTGAATCTCCACTTCCAGAAATGTTTTGTGGTGATTTACAGTATAATTTCATAAAACAAAATGTAAATGTAGAATAAAGACTATAGATAAATAAATACTAAAGGTCAACACATTATAGACTAAAGTATAATATAAAATAAAGACATGAGAACCTTCTGAAGGAGAAGTTTCCAAACCTTAAATATCAGAAGAAACCTCTGGGTTTTTGTTTGTTTGTTTGTTTTTAGGAAACGCATTGTAGCACACAGCTATGTAAGGGCGGTGAGAACCAGAGCAATCAGGATGCGCACAGGTCAGGGGCACCAAGCACCACTTGCTCAGTGATTTTTCCCTTCTCCTCACAGCCCACAGGCTCATGAGTGGCACCTACAAAGAAACAAATGGATCTTGAGACACAACCTAAAAACCAAACACGAATTTCTCCAATATATGTAATACAGCCAGTGAAATGGCTCCTCAAATGCTATGCCTGTGTTTTCTTGGTCTGTTAACTCATTTGATAGGTACATTCTTGGGGCAAATATTTGAGCAACATTATTTTAATTTTTATTTTTTTCAGAGGCAAGTTCTTCCTCTGTCTGGAGTGAAGTGGTATAATCATAGCTCACTGCAGCTTCAAACTCCTGAGCTCAAGTGATCATCCTGTCTCAGCCTCCATTGTAGTTGGGACTACAGGTGTGTACCACCACATTCAGCTAATTTTTAAAAATGTTTTATAGAGATGAGTCTTACCATGTTGCTCAAGTTGGTCTCAATCTCCTGGCCTCAAGCCATCCTCTCACCTTGGCCTCCCAAACTTCTGGGATTACAGGCGTGGGCCACCACACCCTATTTTCCTTTATTTTTCTCTTCAGCTGTTTAGTTATAAATTCTTTCCAGTTGTCTAAGTTTTGTTTAACATATAAAGATAGATTGCCTAAAACTATGAATGTAGAAATATTTCTAATGCAGAAAAATTTAATCTAATACCCTTGTATTTATCAAGAGTCAATTTTTTAAAAAACAGAGACTTCTCTGTAAGGCCTGAACAGCAAAATGTTAATTAGTGGAATCTAGAAAAATCAAATCCCCACAGAATTCAGAGCTAGAAAAACAGAGTCTAATAAAAAGAGAGTAAAGGACATGAATTACTGTATTTTCAAAGTAGAACTATTTATGATCAAGAAATATTAAACTACTGGAAACTTATTTGTAATAAAAATGAAAGTTAAAAAAGATAGCATTTCCCACCTATCAAATTGATAACCATTAAAAAACAAATAGGTTATGATGACAAGGATTTTGGAAAATAATAAATGTTGTACACTTCTGGGAAGAGTGTAATTAGAACACATTATATAGTGGAAATTTTAAGAGTAAGTAAAATGCTGACTTTAATCCAATAATTGCAGATGAATTAATATAGTGAATGGAAATAATTGGATATCTCAAATGATGTACATACAAGTATATCTCTGAAGTGATACTTATTATATTGAAATATGTCAAATAAAATGGATTAAATAAATTATGGTAAATCATAATAAGTAGAGCATAACTATTAAAAATCATGTTATAAAATAAAGAATATAGAAAGTCAATCATGATATAATGCTGAGAAAGAAAGCAGGTTACAACCATATGATTCAAATACACTCACACCATACGTGTTCTGTTGTATTTATTGTATATATATTTGATTTCAAAGACACACTCAAAATGACAACAATTTGAGCTTATTAATACTATCTCTAGTTGGTGAGATTAGTGGGTATTTGTATTGTTTCTAACAGTTTTAAAATAGTTTTATAATTTTTTTATAGTGAATGTGTACACTTTATTATCAGGAAAATGCCTTTGTTTTTTCTAAATATTTAAAAGATGTCCTATGTATTAGAAAAAAATCTGTAGTGGCTCAAGCCAAGTTTTCACATGTTAAATAAATCCATTATGTATAGACACAATTATCACATAATTTTTCATTGGCCAGCAGCTGTGTTAAAGGCCTTGATTATCTTTAATGAATCTTTGCCTTTGAAACTGTTGTTTCTCTTTCTAAATAACATCCATTACTCTAAAATTGTATTGTTCTGCTATCTCCAATTTGGCACTAATCCGAGCCAACTCAAATGTGAATGATTCAATGGTCTGCCTCTGAGTAAGGTGAAGCATATGGACTGCATTATACTTAAGACCAAGAGTTTATACTGGCTGGTTGGTAGTATCTGGGGGTATAAACCAGGGTGTTGTCTTAGACAAATATAGCTAGTTAATAGTTTGAGTTATGGTAAATGGAAACCAATTCTTCTCCCAAGTGTAAAAGTTGAGACTGGGGCAGGGACATTTTTGGGGTTTTTTGCTATGATAGGGTCTAATCTTTAGTGGGAGTCAGAATGGCAGCAAGTGTTCTCGAATGAAGGGATGACAAGGAAGAGTTCAGAGTGTCACATGACACCTTCTATTACCTATGAGGCATGAGCTGCTGCAGTGCTAAAGCACAAGTTTACAGAGTTTCAGGGTCTTGAGATTTTTACACAAAATTTCAAATGAAACTCAGAGTGTTACTTTTTCTCCTGAGTTGATACCATTTTGCAAAATACAAATATTTAACTAACAATCCAAAAATAAGCACATTCAAATTTCTAATACATAACCAAAGAAATAGTCTTTCCTTAATACTAAAAATATTGCATGAAAAAAACACAGTTTAACATCCATTTGTAGTAAATATCCTCTTCCTCTTCCTCTCCCTATCCTTATCTTCCCCCCTTACTCCCTCACCTCTTCTCTCTCTCTCTTTCTCTCACAAACGACTTAGATACTGTTATTGATGTCTCTAATATGAAAATACTCTTGGCATAATGAGAGCTTAAACTGTACTTAAAGTCCATTGAAACGTAAAGTTAAAAACAAAGCTTAGACTCAGATGGAAGCGACTTTAGAGATCATCTGATTCAATCTTCTTTATTTAAAAAGAATAATTCAAGGGCTATTTACAGCATATGAATGACCTATAAACTCACAAGTTGAATTAGAAATTAGTAGTAATTTGTTAAGAGGCTGTGACAAAATTTAAATTTCATATAGTCAACAAACCTGATAAAATTACAAAGTTAATTGGGCTGTTAATATTTTGACCCAAAATTTCTAAATGACCTCAGTTAATACATATTTATATCTAGAAGGAACTAATTTGATGATGGAGAAAAATGGAGTTCCCTAATTCATATCAAATTATTTGTATCAAATATTAATATTTTATTGTCCCAGTAACTGTTTTTTCTTTTCTTTTTTTTTTTTTTTTTTTTTTTTTTTTTTTGAGTCATGGCCTTGCTCCATCCCCCAGGCTGAAGTGGTGCAATCTTGGCTCACTGCAGCCTCAATCTCCTGGACTCAAGCAATCCTCCCACCTCAGCTGCCCGAGTAGCTGGGACTATGGCCACATGCCACCACATCTGGCCAATTTGTAAAATGTTTTGTAGAGAGGAGGTATCATTATGTTGCCCAGGCTGCTCTCGAACTCCTGGGGTTAACTAATCCACCCACCTCAGCTTCCCAAACCGCTGGGATTATAGGTGTGAGTCACCATGCCTGGCCAATAATTTCCATTTAAGGAAAGTAAATAGCAAATATTTTAGACTGGCTATAAATTATTATATTACCTTAAAGTCCCATAATTCACTAAGGCATCAGTCATTCTTATACTTTAAAATAACTTTTTGGTTCATGCCATGAGAAACCATATATAAAAAACATTTTCTTATAAAATAATTAGCCTATACACTAGGAATAATTTGATCTTTTCTTTTTTTTTCTTTTTTTTTTTTTTTTTTTTTTTGAGATGGTGTCTCACTCTGTAACCCAAGCTGGAGTGCAGTGGCACAATCTTGGCTCACGGCACCCTCTGTTTCCCAGGCTCAAGCAATTCTCATGCCTCAGCCTCTCGAGTAGCTGAAACAAAAGGCACACGCCACCACACCCAGTTAGTTTTTTTTTTTTTTTTTTGTATTTTAGCAGAGACGGGGTTTCACCATATTGGTCAGGGTTTTCTCGAACTCCTGAGCTCAGGCGATCCGCCAGCCTTGGCCTCCCAAAGTTCTGGGATTACAGGCTTGAGCCACCACACCCAGCTGAATATATATTTCTCATTGCAAAATGATGATGAAACTGAAAGCTTTGTGGCAAAAATTGCAGTTATAAGGAAAAGAGGTTCATGTTTCCCCAGGTATAAAAATGGGCTACCAAGTAACTATGTGACCTGAGCTACCCACCATGAACTGGGTGTTATCTGACCACCAACCCATCAAGTTGCTGTGTGAAATAACACTCCATCATCAAATAGAAGTGGTATATTTGTGATCTGGCCCTAGCAGCTGTGAAGGCACAAGTCAGTTACATGAAGAAGTGGCCCAAATGCTCCTGGTCTCCGCTTCTGCTACCCTGGCTTCTCTCTCCCAGCCTGCACCTGTGGTCTCATGGAGTTCCCGATCATCACTTGACAGAAGAAGAGAAGACTAGGGCCTGATTAACAGATGTTCTGCGTAATACTCAGGCACCACCCTAAAGGGGACAGCTGCAGCAAAAATAGAACAAAAAGGCTTAGAAAGGGCACATTTGCTCACTGAGCTGGGACATGTATTATCTCCTGCCCTTGGACATCAGCACTCCTGGTTCTCAGGCCTTTGGACTTTGACGAAGATTTCCATCATGGCTTCTCCTGGTTCTCAGGCCTTTTGACCCAAACGTCTTACACCACTGGCTTTCCTGCTTCTCCAGCTGGCAGATCGTGGGGCTTCTTGGCCTCCATAATCACGTGAGCAAATTCCCGTAATAAACCTCTCTGTATTTGTTTGTGTGTTTGTGTTTGTGTTTTTGTATTATGTTGGCTCTGTTTCTCTAGATGATCCTGATTAATTCAGATGGAGGAAATCATATCATCTTATCTGACAGTCAATAGTGTATCTCTCTTTTGACCTTGACTTCTTTTGTCTGTATTAAAAACTTTTATTGTATTTGATACATTGTGACTGTAATAACAGGAGTTTTTTTTAATATATATTAACATAGTGATCAGAATATTTGACTCTAAAGTAGGCCATATATTTAACTTTTAATAGGTCAGATATGGCTTGGGTTTAAAGGTGAGTACAATAAAGTTATACTATAAATTAATTTCTCATCAACATTTCCAAAGAAGATATCAAGAATGCAAATATATACTACTTGTGTACATATTTGACAATAGTTTTCATGAAACACTTGAATAATTGTGACATTTAAGTAGCAGTTAAGAGACAAGATGGCAACATTTCCTGAGGAGACCAGTCAGCTTCCTGATGGCAGGTTGATTCCATTCAATCACTTTCATTATGAAACTGTCCACATTTTGTCCTTACTGGACAAAACTCAACTCTAGATATGGATTTTCCTTCCTTGCAGGCAATGATTTTGCCAAAACTACCACCTGTATACTTATAAAATGCCTTATCCACTGTCACGATATGCCATACAGCATTGCTTCTGATCAAGAAATTCACTTCACAGCAAAAAAAGTGTGCCAATGGGCTCATGCTCATGGAATTCACTAGTTTTACCATGTCTCCAACCATCCTAAAACAGCTGCCTTGATAGAATGGTAGTTTGGCCTTTTGAAGACTCAGTTACAGTGCTAGTTAGGTGACAATACCACTTGGCCAAGTTCTCCAGAAGGCTACACATGCTCTGAATCAGCATTCAATGAATGGTGTTTTTTGTTTTGTTTTGTTTTGTTTTTGGGTTTTGTTTTGTTTTGTTTTTTCTATACTAAGGATTCACAGGTCCAGGAATTCAGAAGTAGAAATGAGAGTGGTGCCACTCGCAATTACCCCTAGTGACCTATTAGCAAAATATATTTTTGTTACCATGACTTTGTGCTCTGCTCACCCAGAGGTCTTAGTCCCAGAGGGAGGAATGCTTCCACTAGGAGACGCAACAGTGATTCTAATGAACTGGAAGTTAAGACTGCCTCCTTAACACTTTGGGCAACTCATGCCTCTGAGACAACAAGAAGGGAGTTTTGGTGTTGACTAGGGAAATTGAACTGGACTACCAAAAGGAAATTGGCCTACTCCACAATGGAGGTAAAAATGAGTATACCTTAAATATAGATGCTTCCCTAGGACTTCTGCTAGTATTACCATGCCTGTGCTCAACGTTAATGGAAAGCTACAACAACCTCATCTGAACAGGACTACTAATGGCCCAAACTATAAAGGAATGGTTTGGGTCTCCCCACCAGGTAAAAAACCATGACCAGCTAAGGTTCGTGCTGAAGCAAAGGGCGTGTAGAAGAGGGTAGTTATAAACACCAGCTATGACAACAGGACCAGTTACAGAAACCAAAAGTTTTTCATGTGTATTTCCTCCTTATTTTGTTATTAATATATTTTGCTTATATATATATATATTAAGCAAATATACTTGTTTTCTTTTTTCTCTCATTCTCCTATTATGTAACATAAGATATTTGACTCTATATCAGTATTTAGTATTGTTAATTTTACATCATCGTATTTAAGTTATAAAATATCAGAAGGATAAATATTACTTAAGGACTGTATCTCCTCTGGAAGGGATTAGTGGATTTTTTATTTTATGCAAGATAGTTGTATTATGTAAGGCAGAATTATGGCCTTGTTAATTGTCGTTATTTGGAAACTAAGTATGGTTAAAGGACGTGCATGTGGGTGCCAAGTAGACAAAGGTGAATTGTGATGGTGAATGTCATGTATCAACTTGACTCAGCTAAGGAATGGCCAGATAGCTGGTAAAACATTATTAATGGGTGTGTTGATGAGGGTGTTGCTGGAAGACATTAGCATTTGAATCAGTAGAAAGAGTAAAGAAGACTGCCTTCATCAATGTGTGTGAGTTTGAAATAATAGAGTTTATAGGTGGATGTGTTTAGCACAAAGGCCCAAAATTGTTTTCTTAACATGATAGGTTTTAACAATTATATGACCTGCAAATAACACTAACCGTATGCCATAAAGACATTATATCTTTAGTCAAAATATGTCAATACAGGGCCAGAATTAGTAAATAAAATAAAAATCATTCTATATTTCTTGAAGACAAGTATTACTGATTTATCTGAGTGATAATTTACATATAAACCATGTATATTCTACTAGTATGTTTAGAGCAAATAAAAATTATGAAATCAGTTTAATAATTTATTTCTATAGTGAAAATCCCAGGGTAAAAATCAACAAATATAATTTGAAATATAAAACGTATTTCTATACATTTGTAAAACAGGGACCAATGCTTACTTCAGTAGGCAATAAAGCATACACACATTATTACATTCACCAGCATTTGGTTATAGTGGTTCTTATTTGAAATAAGTGGCAACTGTCTATCAAAACATATTTTTCTGGTTCAATTTTTCCCATGTGGACTTCATAATTTTATTTTAAGTACATATAAATTATATATAAATGATTACTAAGACATTTCAGGGTTGTATGTTAGCTTTAATTACTAAACACTAATCTAGCTGTGCAAGAAAATTGTTAATCATCTAATAATTCAAGTAAAATAAAACTAGATAAAATTCCAGTGGAAGATCTAATGCGGTGCTCAGTCATAAAGGTACAGACAGATTTTAAAAGTGTAGACAGATTCCTCTCCTGAGAAAACTTGTTGGATTTCTAGGAAGATAAGATTTACACATAAAAGGTAGCTAGACAATAGTACAAGAATATATATATAGTCTTCTGTAATTCATAAATGGAGAGAGGGAGGAGAGTGGGGAGAGAGAAAAAGAGAGAAAGAGAGACTATACATGTTAGAGTCATCTACAAAAGGTCTCTAGGAAGATAAAACAGCACAAATTAGAAAGGAGTCTGAAATTTCATTTGGAGAGAATGCTTGTGCAGTATTTGAGGCAAAAAGTTAGGTAAGAATTATCAACTGATTGTATTTTAGGATTGAAAAAGTAGTTATTGGTGGCCATGCAGTCCATCCCCCGACAGAATTAGAAATATCAAAAAGGATCTAGCTAGAGAGGAAAGTGGTGAGTGCTTATGTATTATGTATTTAATACATACGATTCAAGTGGATGGTTGCATATTTAATATATTCCTTTATTTGATGAGTTGGAATTTGCATTCGAAGTAAGGATAAAATTAAGACTTGATTGCCAAATGATCATTAAGACTATGATTATAAATAAGCTTTCTGAGATGACGTAGAGTGACCATACAAAAACAATGGCTCCTCCTGGAGGTAGTCTTACTCTCAGGAAGAAAGAAAAGGATGAAACCTCATGAGGAAGGTTTGTCAGAGAAATGATTAGAGAGGCAAGGAGCAAGGGAGCACAATATCCAGAAAGCCACGAGGAGAGAAAAATTCTGAACATGGGTGATGAAGAATTTCAAGTAGAGATATTGTGGAAGATAATATTTGAGAAAGGCCCCAGGGAAGGATGTGGTTAACAGTACAGAGACTGTTTCATCAGAGCAGCAGAGGATCCAGAAGACAGCAAGAAAAGAGAAAATAGATGCAGGGTTTATCTAGATACGAACAGGAAAAAAAGTAATGCAGCTATGTAAAAGAGAAGCAAAGACAATGAAAATGTTTTGCTTTGTTTATTTTCTTTGTCCTAAGAAACAATCCTTAAGAAATTTAAGTTGAAGGAAAGAAAGTGATTATGTTGTCATCACTTGGTACTTGTCTGGGCTCAGTATATATTGAGTGGATAATTGAGAAATAGTTGGAAATGGCAAAAATTATGAAAACAGTTATATTTTTGGAAGTCACAGAAGGTGAATACAAATGGGGAATTTTCTTTAAATGAAAAGAAAGAGAGAGACATACTACCTTAAAAATAATGTGGCCAGGTGCAGTGGCTCACGCCTGTAATCCCAGCACTTTGGGAGGCCGAGGCAGGTGGATTATGAGGTCAGGAGTTCGAGACCAGCCTGGCCAACATCGTGAAACCCTTTCTCTACTAAAAATACAAAAATTAGCTGGGCATGGTGGCGGGCACCTGTAATCTCAGCTACTCAGTAGGCTGAGGCAGGTGAATCCTTTGAACCTGGGAGGCGGAGGTTGCGGTGAGCCGAGATGGCAGCATTGCACTCCAGCCTGGGCGACAGGGTGAGACTTTGTCTCAAAAAAAAAAAAAAAAAAAGGAAAAATCTGGTTTGTTTTTTCCATATGCTGGGATGGTATTGTGGAGTTTTGAAAAAATTATCACTTTGGTGTTAAATAATAATATGTTGCTTGGCAGTCTTGGTTTCTCTGTTCCATGTATATTTCTCTTTTTGACCTTACTATTTTAAATATGCTTGAATTTGGCATATGTAGCATTCTCCTTATCTATCTGTAATTAAATCTAGAATAAATAGTAAAATCAATAATACATAACCCAATTGCTATGTAATTCTGTAATAGAAATATGCGCATCAAGTTTCTGACCAGTAAGAACTTGGTAAAGAAAGCTAACTAAATATTTATCTCATTAGGATTTCAGGAAATTATTATCCAATTTTAGGACATATCAGAATACAGTGCTAAGCACTACAAGTCATGAATTTTACAAAAAATTTACTCTTTCACACAAATATGTAATTTACTTTGTTAACTTTAAATCACTTCAGCATCTTTCTAAGAATGTATTAATTTGGAATTGACCAGTGAGTTCTGTCAAGCAACACTCATATTTGTTCAAACATTAGGACAATGCATTTTCCCAATATTATCTTACAGGAAACAGGATGTCATAGTTTGAATCATTGAATCTTTACATAGTCTGATATGGCTCAT